TCCACCCATTTAAACTGCCCGGGAGCTGTCTTAGTCCTTAATCCTGGAGTTTAAGTACATACTTTCTCCTGACCCCCCTGCGGCCCTTGGCACCCCGTCTCCTGCCTTCTTGCTTTTTGCCCACATTCCTCAGGGCTGCCTCCACCTGTTTAAACTGCCCGGGAGCTGTTTTAGTCCTTAATCCTGGAGTTTAAGTACATACTTTCTCCTGCTCAGACGGTTTATCCATCGCCCGGGGGTCCTTGAGAGCCCAGCACTGATGGCAAACACTAGGTGGGCCCAGGCAGGACCCTGCACCCTTCGCACCCCTGAGCTCTCTCCCTCAGAGAGCACCTCGTCTCTGGGTGCTCCTGGCCCCCGAAACAGGAGGAACCGTCAGCAAAAATGTCACTTTGGAATGTTGACAGCATGTCAAGGAGACTTTTCACCCTGAGTTGGGAAACACCCTTTTCCACTGTGAAGTTTTAAGTCTCTGTTGAGTTGGATCCCCAGGAGCTGGCATACAGACAGCTCTTTGTGGGAAGTCCTTACAGCCTAATGGTTTGCCCTTGACCTCCACCGCCCGTGTGACCTCCACCACCCACATAGAAAGAGCGCCGGAAGAACGCGTTTGCAGGGGACACCCAGCCGCCCGCCGGATCAGCTCACTTACTGCCTTTCTCAAGCTTGTGCCAGGGGCTCTGTCCTGGGAAAATGAGTTAATTTTCATTCTTCCGGCTTGTGGATGACACAGCCCACCAGGCCCAGCAGCCAGAAACCCTGAGCCGTCCTCGCCCTCGTCCCCTCTTCTCCTTTATCTCCTAAGTCGCTCCAAATCCAGCCCCCTCTCCTCATCCCAGGCCACTTGGTATAGAGCCCTTATTCTTTCTTCCAGTAGTTTCCTAAGGGAGCTCTCAAGAAGCACACCACCCAATGCACACACAGTCACCCAGCCTACCCCACCCCAAGCATGTCTGTCTGTCTGTCTGTCTCTCTCCCCGCCGCCCCACCCCCCTCTCTCCCTGGCTCCGATCCATCTCCCACACAGTTGCCAGAGTGGTCTTTGAAAAATAGAAATATTTCGGTACCTCCCTTGTTTTCAGAAACATAGGCCCCGAGCCCCGGTCGCCTGCCAGCACCCCTGGGAGCCTTGTGCTCCCCGCTGCGCCAGGCCTGTGGGCTCTGGGCCCTGGTCGTGTGGAGTCCCAGCACCTGGTGACGGACTGGGCCCCGGGTACACGCTGTCCTCCCTCTCCTGTGGTTCCCACACTGGGCTGCCGTGGTAGTCGGGTCCTTTGGGCGGGAGGAGGGTACGGTAATGACACTCAGGGGCTGTCTGCTCTGCTCTGCAAACAGATGCTGTTGACAACCACAGGTCATTCCATGACAAGCACGGCCTTGCTGGCAAGCGGGACCTGCAGCCTGAAGACGGCGCGAGGGCAGGTGAGGGGACGGGTCCCGGGGCTCCGAGGCCCTCCACTGTCCACCTCTGGGCACACAGGGCAGTGGTCCGAGCCGGGCCCGGCCACCTCTGTCCACTGCTAGCCACAGAAACGACACTGGGAGTAAGATGCTGGGCAGCGCAGGGACAGCAGAGAGCCCTCTGGACTTGGGGCCTCCAGGAGAGGGGTCCCCGAGATGGGTGACAGAGATGCTGGGGTTCATGACCTCGGGGTGCCCGGAGCACCTGTGTAAGTCGTAAATGTCAATCCTTTTGGTTTCTAGGCGACTCTGACGGGCCGCTGCCCTGGAACGATGATGTTGTGCACAAGATAATGGAGTTTCTGACTTTCTTGCATCTCAAAGGTCAGTGAAATGTGGCCGATTTACATTTCCGCCTCCTAGAACCAACCCTGGGCACTTAAAACGGAAAGGGTTCCCTAGACTTCTGCAGCGACCGATCCCCACGCCTGCTGGTTGGAGTTACAGCCCGGGAACTGGAACTAGCTAAAGCAGGGCTGGGCTTGCTGCCGGTCCCACACCGTCCCTGGAAAGGGTCATCAGACCTACTGTTCCCAGAGAGAGAGAGAGAGAGAGAGAGAGAGAGAGCGAGCGCGCGCCTCAGGGTTCCGTTCTCTCTGTGCACTATTGACGTGGCAACAACCGCTGTCCCTGTCCGGCCACAGTGCCCCACCGCCCGCTCCTCACAGGCGTCTGAGACCAGGTCTCATCAGCACTGCAACTGAACAGGGGCCCATCCGTCAGATGTCGGCTTTCCTTTGGGTTTGGGGCAGGCTGCGTTTAAATGCATGGCCCTCGGCTCTGGGCCTCCTGCAGACGCCGCCGGCGATGAGGCTCCCCCTGCCCATTTCAACCCTGGCTTTGCCGTCTGTGCTTCATGCTTGTCATTCATTCAACAGTGAGGGTCTGGCTTTTGCCAGATAAGCTCACAGGTCCAGCCGCCCCGTGGGAGGCCTGCGCTCTGAGAGTTAACCGTGCAGGTGGGGGCGGGGGCCGGGGAGCTGGACGCTGTGATGCTCACGAGAGACAGCTGGTTGTCAAGTTTCACACGTCACGATTTCGTGTGAGTTTGAGAGTCCAGGCTGATTCTGTTCTGTCTGGACCCTGTAAGGCGAGCCGGGGCTGTGATGTCCTCCGTGCGGACAGCAGGGGCTCATCACCCAGCGTCCGTCTCTTTGCAGAGGCCGGGGCCCTGGTGCCCGTGCTCCCCTCGGCGGCGTCCTGGGAAGACACAGAGCAGTCAGCCCTGAGGGAGCCGGGCAAGGCCCTCCCGTCCCAGGAGGTCAGATTCTGAGACGATGGGTCAGCTTGTGCCAACTCCCCGAGTCAGCCAGCCCCTCCTCTCCTTTGAAGCTGTGTTGTTATAATTTAAGATTTCCCCTTTGGTAATTATTCTCGTGGCAAAATAAAAACCAGCAAGTGTTTCCGTGTCTTCCTTCCTTGTGCCTGTCTGTCACCACCACCAGAGTGCTTTACGACCAGCTGGAGCCCTGGCCGGGTGGCCCAGTGGTTGGAGTGTCGTCCTGTACACCAAAAGGTGGCGGGTTCAAGTCCCAGTCAGGGCACACACCCAGGCTTCAGGTTCAGTCCCTGGTCAGGGTGCCTACGGGGGGCAACCAATCGATGTTTCTCTCTCTCCCTTCCTGTCTCTAAAAAAAATCAATAAAAAACATATCCTCGGTGAGGATTTAAAAAGATAAAAAAGATACGGCTGGATTGTAATCATGTGCATTAGATCAGTGCACATCGGGAACAAGGCGTGTGCACACTAAGCTGAGTCAGACACAATTATAAAGGAACAGACGCCCCTGCCGTCCTGGGGCCAGCAGGGGGTGGGGCCGGGAGTGAGCTGGGGACCCACAGGGCAGGTAGAAAAGTGATTTTCCTGAAAACTTCAAGTGCTTCCTAGCTGAGGAGATGTGTGCCCTGTCCGGGTGCGGGAAAGCCAGCCCCTGGCAGAAGCTCTGAGGACCGGTGGTGATGGTCCATCCCGAGGGGGAGGCAGTCACACCTGAAGACCCAGAGGAATGCGAGGGGGTGAGGATGGGGGAGAGCCTTCTCTTAGGTCACGTGATGACGCGGGGCCTCTTGGCCTTGGGGGGAGGTCTCTGGCTGCATCACATGACTATACGCACCTGCACTTGGCTGTTCTCACAATGACTTTCCTAAAAGCTGTGCTGACTTGCTAAACCCTCCCCCTTGAGCAACCCACAGGGGTCACGCCTTCCAGTGGCCTGTCCCTGGCTTTTAGGCTTCAGCTCAGCACACCTGGCTGCAGCGCTGGGCCCCACCGCAGGGTGCAGGTGGGCTCCCCTGCTGTGCTGGATCCTGGCTGCCTCTGGGCTCTGCAGGTCAGAATGGGCTGGGGGACCTGTTCCCTCCCCTCCACACCTGACCCTCAGACTCCCAGCACTTGCCCTGGGCCTGGTGTGGACTAAGATGGTGGTGAGTGCGAAACACTCACTGAATGTTAGGATTGGTGCACGAAGAACGTGAAACGGAACAACCACTTTTATTTTGGTTACATATAGGAATGATAGTGTTTTGGATATATTGGGTTAAATAAAATCATTAAATTGGCCTGGCTGGTGTGGCTCAGTGGTTGAGCATTGACCTATGAACCAGGAGGTCACGGTTCGATTCCAGGTCAGGTGACATGCCAGGGTGGCAGGCTCGATCCCCAGTGTGGGGCGTGCAGGAGGCAGCGGATCCATGATTCTCTCTCATCATTTATGTTTCTATCTCTCCTCTCCCTTCCTTTTTGAAATCAATAAAAATATGTTTTTAAAAAAGATTATTAAATCGAATTTCACCTGTTCCTTTTCACTTTTTTAAAATGTGGTGACTAGAAATTTTAAAACTACCTGTGTGGCCGGCAGATACTGCCGTTTGCCCTGCTGAGAAGGAAGGCAGCCCCAGGAGGAGTCACAGAGCCCCACTGCGGCCCCCTTCCGCCCGAGGGTCTGGGGGGCAGGTGACCCTTGGCCGCAGTGTCCCCGCTCAGCCCCAGCTCCGCTCCCGAGAACTCGCAGTCTCACAGCTCTGCCTCTACCTCGGGCTTTCGCCTCAGAGTCTGGATCCGGGTGGGAGACAAGGGGGTTGAAACAGAGAAATGAAGTATCAGAAGGAGGCTGTTCCAAATATCGCTGTGCTGGCCTGCTCCAGCTCCTGCTCCCCAATGTGCCAGGGGCCCCAGCCACACTGCCCGCCCTGCTGTGCCTGCAATGAGCTTCCGAAGGTTGTCTGCGGGGCCAGTACCATCCACACACGGAAACATGACCAAGTGTATTTTCAGTCACCAAGCTAATTACAGCCACAGGAGACAGCTGAAATTTTTATTCTTTGCTTTCACAATAGAACCAAAGGAGTCAACTTAACAGCTAATATTACGTGCTACTTTCTGCAAACTAGTCAGTTTAACCATACTCTACCAACAACAATAGCTTAACAGTAATCATGGAGAAGTTATTGGACAATAGAGCTTTTCCACAATCAAATAGAAACACCTAAGAAACTAGATACATTTCCGTCCCACAACTCAAGATGCGATGGATGGAAGCGCAGCCTGTGTGCCCGCTGCCTCTCGGTGTCCGCCGAGTGGGACACGCCCGCACTCGATTCCTTGAGTGTTCAGGGCTCTCTAGAGATCTCAGGTTGCATCTCAGCAGCCCAGCAGAGATGTTATTTCTAAGAATCTGGGGGAAATCTGATGGCTTTTATGCAGAGAAGCCTCCAGAGGAGACTCCCCAAGGGGATGAGGTCAATAGGGTGACTCTTCCCTCTCCCGCCCCGTGTCCACCCACCAGCACTGGGTGTGGGTGCAGAGGTCCCCAGGCTCACGGGAACCCACGCTCCCTCCTGGCCCCGCCATGTAGTCAGTCACGCCCCTCCTCAAACAGGGGCTGTGGATGCCAAACCCTCCCAGACTCAGCCCCCTGGGTCCCCTGGCACAGAGGGAGCGCCCACCTCGATGGTGCAGCTGTGGACACAGACCGGCCTCGTGTTCCTTAAAGCAGCCTCTCCTCTGTGGGTCCCCGGAAGCCCGAGCGCAGACCCGCAGCTCCTCTCTCCTCCCCACCTTCTCCTCTACTCCATCTTCAACCCTTTGGACTTAAACTCGATGTGGAGAATCTGGGACAGGCACCTCCCGAACTCCTCCAGGACCATCTGCTGGGCCATGCACTCCGAGCAGCGCCCCTTCTCCGCCTCCTCGCCCTGAGCCAGCAGACAGGCGCACGCGGCTTCCACCACCTCCCAGGAGATGCACGAGGACCGCCTGCAGGGACACACCAGTCAAGGCCATGGTCAGAGGCCCGGCTGCTCTTAAAGGCCAGAGTGTTCCAGGGGACGGGCTTGTCATGCATTTCAGAGACTCACTGGCAAAACCCAATGCTGTCTTCCTGATATGGAAGCTGTTCACTAGAATAGCATCAGGATTGCTTTTAGAAGGAGATACGGAGGAAGGTAAACCTGTCAGCTTCTTGACATCCCTCTCGTGGTCGATTCTACGTTTCTCAAAATTAGATCCTCACAAACCCAGAGGCCTGGGCTCCGGTCAAGCCCGTGGCTGGGCAGGAGCAGCAGCAGGAACCTCAGACAAGACCAGTCCCTGCGGACAAGCAGCCTGGGTCCCAGCGTCGTGCAGGGCTGCGCCGCCCTCCTGGGTGCCCGCTCCCCCACAGGTGTGCATGGGGCTGGGGAACCCCAGGGGCTCTGAGGACTCCCTCGTCTGTCACTCCTGGGGTGCGCTTGCTCTGACTGCCCAACGGGCCCTGAACAAGGACCTGCAAGACGCTGTGCTGAGTCCTGCAGGGCAGCCACGTCCCGAGATCAGGACAGCGTGGCTCAGCTCAAGGCCGCTCACACCGAACATTTTAGGAAAACTATTAAAAAGTGTTGGGTTATGAAAAGAGAGATAGGTGCTGGGACTGGTTAAAACCTCTCACAGCCCTAGCCGGTTTGGCTCAGTGGATGAGCCTTGGCCTTCGGACTGAAGGGCCCCAGGTTCGATTCCGGTCAAGGGCACATAGTCGGGTTGTGGGTTCAATCCCCAGTGGGGGCGTGCAGGAGGCAGCCAATCAGTTATTCTCTCTCCTTCTCCCTTCCTCTCTCTGAAATCAATAAAAATACATTAATAAAGTAACACACTTAAAAAAACACCTCTCCACCAAGGTAACACGCAAGAACTGAGTTGAAGGTGAGAGGACAGGGCTGCCCAGGGCAGAGCTATCACTTTGAGACCAGAGTCCATGGCTCGGAGCCCTCGTCACACTCCATCAACACGCGGTCCCGGGGGAGGCGGCCACACTGTCCCTGCAGTTTCCCAGAGGACTGGGCCACGCCTGGTCAGCGTCCACCAACACAGCACAGCCCTCTGCAGGCCACAGTGAGGCCACCTCTGACGTCTCTAAGCAAAGAAGCATGAACGTGGCTGTTCAACAACATTAATGACATGTGAATGCAGAGACGGTTTTTAAATGGATAAATCTGGTCCAATATAAAGTTATTACTCAATCTTTGAGCTACGAGGACCACCGCATGGCCGCAGGCTAACGAATGGGAAAATACCCAGCTGCATGGGTTCATCGCGCTGGGGAGGACCAGCCTGCGTCCCGAGACATGGTTCATCGCGCTGGGGAGGACCAGCCTGCGTCCCGAGCACCCCTGCGCTACCACCACACGGTGACGGTGACGGTGACATGATGGTGACGAGCGGCTCAGAGGTTTGCTGTCTGGAAGCCACACCCCGCAGCCCGAGGCCAGTGGCCTGCTGGTGGCTCCTGCTCGGAGGACAAAGAGGACAAAGCAGCAGGGCCTCTGGGACAGTGTGGGTCCAGGGTGAGTATGGAAGGGGGGACGTCCAGTCCCTGGCGCCCGCCCTGCAGACAGGCCCGCCCCTTCCAGTGTGTGCATGAGCCTCGTTCCCAATCAGGAGGTCAGTTCCGAGCACCTACCTCTCCTTCCTGAATTTGGGGAGTCCTGACATGTAATGGCTGCCTTCAAAACTGCCAGCTTCCGCGTAGTTTGGCACGGCCATGAGCGTTTTTTGTTCGGGGCTTTCTTCATAATGTTTGCAGCCAATGCATTTGCAGATAGAGGAGCACATGATTTTGGCCTGGAAATAGAGAATTGTCCTACAATCACCCAGAAGAACAAATTCTGTTTGGACCTTCAATAGCTTTATGGTGTACACGTAACCAGCAATTTTCAGACCAAAAGAGCAGGAGTGAGAGGAGCCCATGGCGGTGATGTGAGGAGCGCGAGGGGCACGTGCCCAGGTGCCACTGTAGAGGGGACACAGTGGGGTTCTGACAAGGGGGTGGGGAGGGGCTTTGGGAGGCTGGGCGAGTGTGGGTGGAGTCCCCAGGGGGCGCTAACTCTGATTTTGAATGCAGCTGCGTAGCTGGTTACACAATCCCAGCTCGGGTTCACCTTGGCCCGCAGTTGAGGGCACCTCAGGCTCCCACTGCGGCAGAAGATGAGGGGGTGGAGGAGTCTGAACCTGCCGGCTGGCCTGTGCTCGGTGTTCTGGGCAGGCCTACCTGCCTCCCAGTGGGTGGACTTTATTCCTTGTTTCATGGCAGTGTTGCACCCAGGGGGCAGCAAGGGGGTACCAGCTGTGTCCAGCAAGCCTGGGTCCAAGCCCTTGCTTGTGCCGGCCCTGGGCACGGCCCGCAAGCTGGCCCTGGGACACTGGGGTTTCTAGCGTCCTCTCTGCCTAACCCCTGCCATTTCCCTCTGTTCCTTCCAGCTCAAAGGTGCCTGGTGTGCTTTATTCTGCACCTCCGGGTGTTTTGAACGGAGGTTTCTCAGGATTTCTAGTTCCTCTATAATGCCAGGGACTACAGGGCCCCTGCACCTCACGTGGCCGTGGCTGGGCAGAGGCACGTGGCTGACACAGCGTCACCCGACAGCCAGCAGGGCGCAGTGAGGAGCAGAGAGACGCCACAGCACCTGGGGCTGCGCTCACTGTTAGGATTCGCCATCTCTGCACCAGTTTTGACTGTATTTTCAGGGTCTGCACGGGGTAAAGGTGGGGGGATGGACGGCTAGGTCTGTTAGCCGGACCTTTCAGCGCCCATCTCCAGAATCATGAGGCCTTTCTTTTTTTTTTTTTTTATCATGAGGCCTTTCTTGCATCTGAGCTTCTATGACAACTTTTTAAAAATGAAGCTCACAGCCCTGGCCGATGTGCTCAGTGGTTGGAGCGTCAGCCCATGCACCGAAGGGTCAAAGGTTTGATTCCCTGTCAAGGTCATGTATGTGGGTTGGGGGTTCCCTCCCAGCCCCAGGTCAGCTTTGCCTGTCACTTGCTCTCACTGTTCCCTGGAGGAGCCACAGTGACCGGCTCTGTCGTCAGTGAGAAATGCACCGCTGGTCCATTCACTCCGCTCACACGCTTGCCGTCTCCGCAGCCAGTCTCTCAGGCTTGCTCCCCCGCCACCCCCCCCCCACCCCGGTTTCAGCGTCATATATGTTTGCTAGGTTTTTGCTGTAGAAAATGAACGGTTGGTGAAGATGCTGAGGAAATGGCTGTGTCTGTGGACGCGTCTCCTCCAGGGTTTCCTGTTGCTTTTCCTAGGACAGCGGGACCCGGGGCTCTGCTGTTGGCTCACTACTGCCCACGCGCCGCGTTCCAGCATCTTCCCGCAGGACCGACGCAGCCAGGTGGGGCGTGTGCACGACTGCTGCCCTGGTCTTACAGACCCAGAAACTGGGGTGCTGGAGGTTGCATAGCGACGGCCAGTGCTGGAATCGACTCCAAGGCCCACTGAGCCTGGGTCTCAGCCGCTGGGCTTGCTGTTCTCATGCAACTCAGCTGCCTTTTATCCGGCTTGTTCACATGTCTTATCCATCTACCTACCTTCCCTCTAGACATACAGATGTGCACATGTTCTTAATAACAACGTGACTCAGTGCTCCTCATAAACAGACACGAGTCACAGCGCAGTCCCGTCCGCAGGCTGGCAGCTGGGACCTGGGCCCCGTGCTGTAGGACGAGGTCAGGACTCTGAGCAGGCTGTGCCCGGTGTGCCCCACCCAGTCAAGTTAGACGGCCCAGCCCCAGAGACTCCCGATGACGCCTGCCCATCGACACCCCCAGGGGAACCTGTTTGGATTTCGGGGCTTCGTTTTGCCTCTGCTGGAACCTCAGGCAGGTGGAATCATGCAGCGTGTACCCTTTCCGCCTGGCTTCCTCCAGCAGCGCACGCCGGGAGATCCTCCCGCAGCTGCACACAGCTCTCCTCCTTCCTGCCCCTCTGACGGCCAGCCCGCACAGGCTCATCGCCCTACCACAGACGGACACCCGGGTCGTGTCCGGTTTGCGGCATTATGAGTACAGTTGTTGAGGGCATTCTTGTAAAGGCTCTGGTGGACATGTCTATTGGCTGTGTGTTAGAAGTAAGATAGAACTGCGGGGTGATAGTACATGCAAGTGTTAACTGTAGTAATTGGTGCCAAACAACTCCCCAAAGTGGTTGTACCAGTTTATATTCCTACCAGCAATGCACGGGAATGCCACCACTTTTTAAATAAAGCGTTGTACACTGCAGACAGTACCTTTTACCCTAAAGAAAGTGCTACTATACTGAAGTTATGTGTGTCATCAATTTCAACACATTTATCTCTAATTCAAGAGGGGAGTTAGATTACTGTAGGAACAAGGAACTGACCAGCCATGGCGTATGGTGATCTCCGGTCCACGGTTATGGCTTCACTGTCCTGTGCAAACTAGGCCCCCGGCCCCAGCCTAACTGTCCTCCCTGCTCTGGGCACCTTGTGTGTCCACAGAAGAGGCGCTGCAAGCTCCCGCAGGTAGCCGTTAGCAAGCGGCCTGCAGGGCGGTGGCCTTGAAGGGAGCCCAGGTTCTCCCCGTCACCTGGACGTCCTGGAGCGCAATCGAGACATTCGTGATGGCTGAGAGCTTCCTCCCCATTTCCCCTGGACAGTGGACCAGCCACACGTCTGCAGAGCACGCTGCTCCAACGTGGGCCTCTCTGCTACGTGTATGACCCAGTTTCTCAGGTCGAGACAACATGGACATGTGCGTGTTCTTGAATCAGGACCTTCCGAGCCCCGGGGCGTCCCAGGGGAGGGCAAAGCTCCCTCCCTGCCCGTTCAGTGTACATTCTTCAACACCCGGGCTTTCCCCAAACTGAAATGCAGACTCTCTGGCGGTGGCTTTACGCCTGCGAGCCATTTCAGTGCTTCCGAGACGCTTTCGTTGAATGGGAAGGCACTTACCTTAATGGCCTTGAAGCGCTCAAGTCCGTGGCGTAAGTGGCTGCAGCAGGCATCACAGCTGCAGTTGTTGCAGAAGTCCCCGCTGGCAAAGCAGTCGCAGTACCTGTGGGGACAGTCGCACAGCCTGTCAGGCCGTGGCCGAGTCAAAACCATTTCCTGGAAATGCCCACTGATGCCCACCGTCCCCTGGCCCCACTGCTGTTGTCCCGGGAACACAGCAGGTTGGGGTGGACATGTCAGTTAATAAAGAGCCGTCTTCCCACCAGCTGTCCCCGCCCCTCCGCCACAGCACCGGAGACCCCCCTGGGAGAGAAGACGCAGGGGACCCGAGGCCGCACTGCTCTAGGCTTGGTCTTGCTGTCTCTCCCGTTGGGTGCTGTGCGGGGGAGATGAATGCTGGGGACACACGTCAGAATTCACACCAATACTGGTGACTGGATTGTTGGACCAACACCAGTGGCCAGACAGACTTTCATCCGCGTGATCAGCTAGTTGGTAAGGGAGCACTTCACACCCAGCCTGAAGGGCGACTGGGAGTGAATTCACCCATTCCCTGGCGGGCCAGGCCCACGCTGACCCGCGCCCACGTCCCTACTCGGACCCCGTCTGGCCTTGTCTTGGGGAAATCAACAAGGAAGCTAGTGGAGAGCCTAAGAGGTACGAGCTGGGGCCGGGCCGGGTCAGAACAGAGCAGCAGCCCCTGACCGCCCTCCCAGACCCCAGGCCCAACACAGGGCGTTCCGATGCAGATCACCGGCTGGGTTCGTGCAGTGACAGCAAATCAAGTAATTATTCGCAGCAAAAAATGCGAACACAAAGCTCATGTTGTTCCTGGCACATCATTTATAACAGAAAATTGGTTATGACCTGTATAACGACCTCAAAAAAAGGAGACTGTGCTGAGTGAGAAAACCTGGTAGAGGCTGGAGAGGGGGAGGGGCCCGGGAGAAATGGGCTGCAGGGAGGATCCCTCACCAGGCTCTGCCCCCACGTCCTCCAGCGGCGCCCGGAGGGACCGGGGCTGTGGGAGCGCAGTCCCCTTGGGGTCCTGGCCGCGCCAAAGCACACAGCAAAGCTCCCGAGGACGAGGAGGGGAAACCGGTGTCTTCGGGCCCATGACCCTCTCATGGCTGCACAACCTGTGGGAGCGCAGTCCCCTTGGGGTCCTGGCCGAGCCAAAGCACACAGCAAAGCTCCCGAGGACGAGGACGAGGAGGGGAAACCAGTGTCTTCGGGCCCATGACCCTCTCATGGCTGCACAACCCGACCTGCCAGGCAGCCAGCAGGGCCACCTGGCTGTGCCGGCCACGACCACGGGCCAGCACAGTAACAGCAGCGCACCCGGGGGAAGCCAGAGAACAGAAATCACCGACCGCCGGTACTCACTCCTCACGGCCACGCAGCCTCCAGAACTGAGGGGGAGAACAGAAATCACCAACCGCGAACGCCGGTGCTCACTCCTCACGGCCACGCAGCCTCCAGAACTGAGGGGGGTTCCCTCGGCCTCTCCCACTGCCCTCGCCCGGTGAGCCTGTGCCCGGGGCAGCCCCTCGGGATCCCCTCCCCCACTGCCCGGGCTGCCTCATCAGGCCACACCCCGCTGCCTTAGGCTGCGTGCCCCACACTCTTGGGGGCAGGACAGAGGCTGCCTGCACCTGCATGGGAAGGGCTGCCGGTCCCCGGCTGGTCAGTGAATGTGAACAGAGCTGCAACCAGCCGGGCGAGTTTTGGGGGCAGGACAGAGGCTGCCTGCACCTGCACGGGAAGGGCTGCCCGTCCCAGGCTGGTCCGTGAATGTGAACAGAGCTGCAACCAGCCGGGCGAGTTTACTGAGTTACAATTACAGCCGCCACTGCCACTTGAAAATGGCAATCAAGGTCCCAGGCAGGAAGTGCAGCCATGTCTCCTCGGAGACCGCCTGGCGGCGCTGCCGGAGAGCGTGAGGGACCTCGTGGAAGGTGCACCAAGACCACCATCCACAGTCAGTGATGGCCATGCCATTGCTTACGTGGATGACAGCAAGAAAGAAAAAAGAAATACAACAGCTCACGTGAACCAATGTGAAGCAGACGGAGCCTCTGAAACACAGCCGGGCGGCGTGGGGCCGTCCCGGCGACACCAGCCCCACGCACACAACACTGTCGCGTGCTGCTCCTTCCAAAAGCTCTTTTGTTGCTGGTGAGGCTGCAGCAAAGCTAACGCTTCCACTTAGAAGAAAATGACAGTGTACCCGAGAGAGCCTCTTAGATTCTTGAAGGAGTGACTGTTGATGGCGTTGGTCCTTACCCAGCCAGCGTTATCCGGGGCGGTGCGGGGAGGGCTGGTCCTGAGGGCAGAGCAGACCCCAAGGCCGCGGCCGGCTGGGCTCCGTGGTCCAGCTGCAGAGAGTCAAGGCCAGCATATTTTGAATTAGTGGATGTTTTAAACGTTCCTTCCAGCCAGCCCCTAGCTACAGAGGAAAACAATCTTTTTCTCCTGGTTTTACCTCGCAATCCCCTCCCAACAAGTCTGGGTCTGTTAGCAGGAACGTGCCATGACTGCGGACCGAGGGGAGGGGTCTGGGACCTGGGGCCAGGCCACCGACCAGCTGGCAGGCAGCACACACAGGGGTTAGCCGCTGGCTAGAACACTGTATTGGACATCTTTTTCATTTTGTGAAATAAATTCAATTACCAATCTCTGTAAACTAAAAATGGCCATTATTATATCCTTAGTGTAACATGAGCGATCTTGACATTTGATGTCTCATTAGCAACCATTACTTTTTCATCTATTCAAAAGGAGCATTTCATAGTCAACGTTAACGAATTCAAAAGCAATGTCGTAATCTCTGCTTTATCCACGGCCTTGGCTGTCCTGGTTCCAGCTTATTTTTCTTTGTTCCTCAGCAGCGTGGCTCACAGGGAAAGGAAAAGCTAGCAACATCGCTGACCTAATTTTCTCCCTCTCAGTGCTTGAAGAAATGAAAAGGGTTGGATACATTTAGGTTTTGAGATTGTCTATGTCACAGCTAAACGCCCTATCCTGTCCCTCCACTGAAAACTTGAAATTTTAAAATAAGCTTTACTTACGCAGTACAGCCTGGGAAAAACACCGTTTTACCCATCCTCCTCCTCGCCCCCCTCTCGTCTCTTTTAAAATTGTGCGTCTCCGCTGCCTGTTGGGGCTCGAGGACACCGAGCAACCACCCTGGTCCAACTCCTCTGTGCAAAGCCTCCCACTGGCACGGGGACTCCGTTTACAGGAGGGACGTGCCCGCTCGTGACTCCGTCCCAGACACCCGTCCCCACGGGCCGTCCAAAGAGCTGCGATTCTTTCGGAGAAAGGATCTCCGGGGCTGAGGCCATTCTTTGCATAAACCAGGGGCAGTTTCTTCCCCCTCTGCTTAGGCCCAAAGTAACGCAGAGAAAAAGGAATGTCTCCTAAGGGCCACGCAGGCAGCAAACCTAGGGCAACCTTTTGCTGGAACCCACAGCCTTCTTCAGCTTTTGGCACCCAGGAGTGGAGACAGGAACCCACATCCCTGGCACCTCGCTGGGATGCGGGTTCTGGGCGGGGCTGAGAGCCAAGTTTCTAGCAGCTCCAGGGGACGCCCACGCGTGGGTCCTCGAAGCACACCTTGAGGAGCAGGGGAAGCAGGGGTTCCGGGGAGGCAGCAAATGCATTGCTAGGACAATTGCCCGAGGTCCACAGGGTAAGAAGTCGGGGGAGCCAGAATGGGGACAAGAATCATCACAGCCAAGGAAAGCCGGGGGGAGGCTGTGGTCTAAAGGGCATTTCTCGTGCAAGAGCTCGGAGGAGGAAGAGCAGTGCCTTTCGGAGCCGAGG